CCCCGAAGGGCTCAGCTCTGCCCTGCCTGCGGGACCCGCACCCCGCATCCCAGCCAGCATCCGCGGAGCAGGGAGGATGCGATGGCACGGGGAGGGTGAAAGCTCATCCAAGAGCAGAGCTGGCGCGTGCCCACGCTGGGAAGTGACCTCCCCGACATCTCTCGACGTGTAGCGCTCAACCGCAAGCCCGGCTTTCCTTCCTGCGCAGAGACACACCTACCCTCGCACCGACGGATGTACGCGCTCGCCTGGGAGCGTCCGCGCCAAGAACTCGGCTACCGAACCCCACGGCTTCCCCCAGCTTCGCTGTCGCGCTCCGAAACGCCGCTCAGCTCACCGAGGCGGCTGGCTGGGGGGGGGGCGGGGGGGTTCCGGGCTCTCCCCGGCCTCGGCGCGGGCGCGGAGTTATCCAGAGTTGGGCTTTGCGGCGCAATGGCTCAGCCCGACCCGCTGCCGTCCCATCCCGGTGCTGAGCGCGGGTGGAAAAACAGAGAGGGGCGAATCTCCCTTCCCTTCTGAAATGCCACCCCGCGGAGTGACACCCTCCCCGTCCCCGGCATCCCCACAGCCCCTGCGCGAGGGTTTGCAGCCCCCCAGCCCCCCTGCCCCAACTCTCTAGGAAAGCGCCGTTAAAACTGGGGTCTCTGCGGCCTCGGCATCGTCGCCGGGGATGAAGATCTTGCGAGACAAGCGCTGCACGTGTTCGCGCCGGCGCTTTCGGGGCTGGCAGCGCGCCGGGGCTGGGCTCAGGACCCAGAGCTGGGCACGGGGATGCTGTGAGGGGAGCACGGCACCTTCCCGGGGATTAGCCAGGGGAATTGGGCTCTGGCCTACTTTGGGATTTTTCCTTAATTCCCTACTTTGGGATTTTTCCTTAATTCCTTCAGGTATTTCTACAGTTTTAAGTAGGCGAGCCTGGCTGGCAGGGCACAACAAGCAACAAGTTTCTGGGGAGCAGCCAAAGGCTCTCAGCTGCAAAAGCAGCGGCTGGGCAGGAGGAGCCCGACTCCCACTGCTGCTCCTTCAGACCCCTACAAATAAACCCTCCTAATTTTCAGGCACAACGTGCCGCCCCGGCCAAGCCCAGCGCTTTCCCTGCACCCTGTCCTGGGGGAAGCCCTATAAAGCAGAGGGAAGAGAGGAAAAGAGGTTTCTTTGCAGCATTTCACAACCCCTCTCGCGGACCAGCAGAAGCTGCCGCGTCCTGACGCAACATCTCCCCGTGTTTTGCATGTTTCCAGCTCAGGTCTTTCCTCTCCGTCGCGGCCCCCACTCCAACCAGCGTTTCCAAGCCCAAGCACCACAGCAGGACATTTACACGGCAACAAAAAGGGAGTCCCAGCATTTGTAAAGGGGGGGGAAAACAAAAATAAAATCGATAATTATTGTCAAAGCCAAGGTGCAACCTGGCGCGTTCGCCCAGACCCCGTCCCGGAGGCAGACAAAAAGGTTTTTAAAGTCAGGACGGCTCTGACGCAGGGCTGAGCGCAGGAGCCCTCTGCAAGGCTGCGAAGGGGGTGGGGGAGAGGGGAAATCAGAGATTCTTTTCTCTTTAAAAGCGCTGTGTTATTTCTGGCTGGACCACCGAGGAGTTTTAGTTTAAAGATGGTTTGCCTCTACCTGCCGACCCGCCGGCTGAGGAGGAAGCAGAAACGCGAGTGCTCCAGCAAGTAAGAAAACATAAACTGAGTTTGGGCCGCTTGGTGGGCGTAAAAAGCTTAAAAACTGAAAACAACTAAAAAATAGATTTCTCCCTCTAGAAAATACATTTGAGCGTTAACTCCCCCCGCCTTTTTTCTTTTTAAAGGGAGACGAGGCAGAGCCAGAGAGCTTTGCCAAACCCAGCGTGGAGGCGACAGCGAGGTCTCGTTAATCTTCACATTTAACAACCCCTCCGCGGAAGCCCGGGGGGGGACGCGAAGCACCCCCGTCCC